AAGTCAGGCTAGGAGTTGTTCTGAGTTCACATCTTGACCCGACCAACAAGATCATGAAAACACCCCTACCGCCACAAGCTCTCTGGGACGATTTGACTTTGTTTCCCTAAGCACTGCCCAAGTGAACTTAGTGTTCAAAAACCCACCACTACATGAGACACCCACCTCACTGCTGTCATTTTTTTTAAAGTTCATAGTCACTGTAAAGGAAAAGTGGTGTATACAAATGATCGTCTCGGCTACCATTTTAAAAAAATGTGTAAGATGAACATGGATCTAGATCATATTGTAGCTTGCTATTTCTTATCTTTACCAAGAAGGTTTGATATCTTTTAATTTTAATTAAAATGATATTTTTCAGACTTTAAATATGCTAACCAAAATTATGTAGGATAACATAATAAAAATTAATGATGAGTAACAACCATTGTGTTTTTTAAAGTGAAACATTTAAAAATGTTACTATTAACAACAGTCAGCAAAAATAGGAAAAGATGCAGGCACAAGACCACTCCTTGTGTTTTCTCTGTGATACACGGAAATTATCCAAATGCCCATCAATAGGCAGAAAGAACGATGGTACGTCCACATATGGAGTCCTATGCAGTAAAATTGAATGAAGACTGTCTCCAGATAATACTGTGGATGATCTCCAGGAAGGTGAAAACAGCAAGGCTGGGAAAAAACGTGTCAAGTTACGCTACTGTTTATCTGTGAAAGAGTGGGGATATGGAAATATATACATATTTGCTTGTATTTTAAAATGTAATGATACACTACAACTTTTTGAAAAAAATGGCTATAAAGGGAGAAAAGGACAGGGGAATCAGGTAGACTTCTCTGAATACACTTTTTAGGTTTGACTTTAGGATCAAAGGCAACATTTCATATACTTACGAATAAAATTTCTAAGACCCAAACCTAAAATGAAACCCATAACCTAATTATATAGCCCATTAGTTTACAACCACACAGAGAGGACTATTACCAGCGAGTTTAAAGCCTAGGAATGAGACTATCCATCTCTGAAGGATCTACCCCAAGACGTGTTGGGTTTGTTGCTCTTTAATGGAAAAAAATATTAAACCATTTTTAGTAATCACAACTTGGCAAAATCCAGACCATAAAGAACTTCCAGGACAACAAACCTGCTTTCTCTAACAACAACAATAAAGAGGGTGCTATGGTCTGAATGTTTGTGTTCCCCCAGAATTCATGTTGAATGAAATTCTAGCCCCCAAAGGTGACGATATTAAGAGGTGGGGTATCCTTATAAAAGAGACCCCCCAAGGTTGCCTGGATGGCTCCGTCAGTTGAGCATCCGACTCTTGATTTTGGCTCAGGTCATGATCTCAGGGTCATAGGATTAAGTTCAGGATTCTCTCTCTTCTCCCCCTCTGCTACTTTCCCTCTGCCCCCCTTCCCTGCTCACATGCGTGCATGCACTCTTTCTATATATAAAGAGAGGGAGAAACAGACCCCACAGAGCTCCCTCATCCTTTCTGCCATGTGAGCATACAAGAAGTCTGCAACCCAGAAGAGGGCCCTCACCTGACCATGCTGGCACCCTGACCTCAGACCTCCAGGACCATGAGAAATACGTTACTGTTCATAAACTACCCCGCCTGTAGCAGCCTGAGCACACAAAGACGAGAGAGAAGGAGAAGAAGGAAGGGAGGGGGAAGAAAGGATGGAAGGGAGCCAAAATATAAGAAACAGAAGACTTTCAAAAGAGAAAGATGTGTGAGGGGCGCCTGGGTGGCTCAGAGGGTTAAGCCTCTGCCTTTGGCTCAGGTCATGATCTCAGGGTCCTGGGATCGAGTCCCACATTGGGCTCTCTGCCCGGCAGGGAGCCTGCTTCCCTCTCTCTCTCCGCTTACCTCTCTGCCTACTTGTAATCTCTCTGTGTGTGTCAAATAAATAAATAAAATCTTAAAAAAAATTTTTTTAGGGGTGCCTGGGTGGCTCAGGGGGTTAAAGCTCTGCCTTTAGATCAGGACCTGATCCACACATTGGGCTCTCTGCTTGACAGGGAGCTTACTTCCCCTTCTCTCTCTCTGCCTGCCTCTCTGCCTACTTGTGATTTCTGTCTGTCAAATAAACAAATAAAATCTTTTTTTTTTATTTTTTTTAAAAAGAGAGAGAGATGTGTGAAGCTTATCTGACTCATAATCCAACAAATAAATTTTTTTTAATTATAAAACAACTAGCATGATATACTGGTATTTGATGAGCTTTTACTTTTTCTAGATGTATAACAGTATTTTGATTATTTTTAAGAATTCCATAAACACAGATTTATTAATAAAATAATATTATTTGGCAAAGCTGATAATGATGCAAGAGGGTTCTTTATACAAATCTATTTTATATATTACATTCACAAAAATTATTTTAAGATTTTATTTATTCATTAGAGGAAGAGAGAGCACACAAGCAGGGGGAGAGGCAGAGGGAAAGGGAGAAGCAGACTCCCCACTGGGATGGGAGCCTGACATGGGGCTCGATTCCAGGACCTAGAGATCATGACCTGAGCCAAATGCAGACGCCTAACCATCTGAGCCACCCAGCTGCACCTCAAAACTTTTTCTTAATCAAACAGGAAAAAGCAGTTCTTGATCCACACAAATTGTGTGTATGTCCGCACGTGCACAGATGGCAATCAGGAAAATGCGAACAGTGAATGACATCCATTAATGTTAAGGAATTATCGTTAATAGTTTTAGGTGTGAGAATGATATTCTGGTTAAAATCTTTTGAAATGAAATAGTTATAGATGAAAAAACACATGGAACTGGCGTCAAGATAAGCCAAGGATGGAGCACCTGGGTGGCTCAGTTGTTAAGTCTTTGCCTTCGGCTTAGGTCATGATCCCAGGGTCCTGGGATCGAGCCCCATATCGGGCTCCCTGCTCAGTGGGAAGCCAGCTTCTCCCTCTCCCACCCCGCCTGCTTCTGTTCCCTCTCTCACTGTGCCTCTGTATCAAATAAATAAATAAAATATTTTTAAAAAATAAATAAATTAGCCAAGGCTGGGGCACCTGGGTGGCTCAGTCAGCTGAACATCCAACTCCTCGTTTTGGCTCAGGTCATGATCTCAAGGTTGTGGGATCAGGCCCCGTGTAGGGTTCCATGCTCAGTGAGCAATCTGCTTGAGATTCTCTCGCTCCCTCTCTCTTTGCCCCTCCCCCCGCTCTTGCTTGCGCTCTCTCTCTCTAAAAATGAATATATAAAATCTTAAAAAAAAAAAAAAAAGATAAGCCAAGGCTCAGGGAATCAGTGGGGAGTAATTAAAGACTGGCCACCTGGTGGCTCAGTCAGTTAAGCATCTGCCTTTGGCTTCAGGTCATGATCCCAGGGTCCTGGGATGTATTCCTGCACTGGGCTCCTTGCTCAGTGAGAAGCCTGTTTCTCCCTCCGCCTGGAGCTCGCCCTGCTTGTGCTCTCTCTAACAAATAAATAAAATATTTTAAATAAATAAATACATATATAAATAAAATTTTAAAAGACTGGCCATATATCAACTATTGTTAATGCTCAGTGACAGACACATTTTTAGGATTATGCTCTTCTCTCCACTTTTGTATATATTTGAAATTTTGTGTAATAAAAGGTTTTGAAAAATAGCTTCTCCATTCAAATTTTAATGTAAGGTTTGTAAAATTTCTATACTTATCCATCGTACCTCATAAGGCTTTATGAAGACTACATGAAATGAATGAAATAAAGTGAATGTAATTAAAATGAATAGAAATGCTGCCCTTTATTTTCTCTGCTGGCGGGACAGAATGAAAAGAGCACTGAGCGTGAGGTTTAAAAATCCTGACTCACTATGTTGATCATCACTTTCTTGGTGATGCCCTCCCTCACGGTCTTCCCTCTCTCAACTAGAGAGGGAAGCTCCTTAAAGACAGAAACCCTGTCAGTCTTGTTCACCACAATGTCCTCGGTGATTAACCCCATGCCTGGGATGAAGTTATGAATAAACCTGAGCTCAAGTTCCTGCTCAGCAACGTGGAGCGAGGACTAGGACCGCTCTATTGTGCATTCAACCTCAATGCCACAGTACAATCGGTCTTTGTGGTGTAGACCCTGGACAATTTACTTAACAGCTCCTCCTCTGTAAAACAGAAATGATGTCTATCTCAACAAGTTGATCTGCCCTACTGTGGTTTCAAAGACTTCATGTGGCCATTCACTCACTCAACCCACAATTATTTATGAAGTCTAAAGTCCTATAGAAAGTATGGCATAGTCTACTATTCCCATAAACAGAAGAGTAATAATAAATTGACACAAATATTAGCTAAATATAAACACCCATTCAATGACTATTTATGGAATTTCTACCATGTACTAGGCACTGTGCCACAGGCTAGGAGGAACTATGAAGGTAAGTATGGTACAACTCTTGTTTTTGAGGAAGTTTGCAGTCCAATGGATGAGAAGAGAGAGAATGATGTTACAATACAAATTGGCAAGTGACATACCAGAATGGAACAGGAACACAGCACATTCCCTCTGGACACATTCTCCTACCCAAGTTGGTTTCAGGGGAAAAAATCAGTTCACTTAACTTCCCAAAGTTATAAATGTCAACTCCCAAATTAAAACTGCCATGAGATATTTCACTTTTACTTTTTCACTGCAATAAGGCTACAGATTCTTTCTAAAGAAGCCAGCCCATGCTGGAAATCTTCCAAAGGAATTAGATCCTTTTGTTTTTCTGGGTGTTTGCCAGCAGTCCAAACCAAAAGAGGCAAATGGAGCTATTGGCTCATTCATTTAATATTAACTGCCAACTCCCTTCTCCCAGAACACAATGGCCTTCTATTTCAAAGAAGCCCCCTCAGCAACTTGTTCCATGTCAATCAATGGCTGAATTAAGAAAGAACACAGATTCAGGTCTTTTAGATCCAATTCCAAATACAGGGCCAATGTCTCTCTCATTAAAAATAGGATTTAATAACTCATGTAAAAAAATTTTTTTTAATAACTTACCTCAAATTCTTCCCAAAAGCCTTGTTTGACTTTATCTGTGGTCTCAGCTAATTTGCTTAGCTCTCGAACCCGGCTTTCTATTTCAGCAGCATTGATACGTGTTGTGTTGAGGGGCTAATCAATTTCAGCAGTTGGTGTGAAATGAAGAAAGTATTACAAAAAAAAGTGTTAATGCAAAAAAAAAAAAAAAGAGTTCCATGTTGATCATTTGTAAGGCAAGGACAGGAAATTCAAAGGACACAGTAATTCACAATAAAAGTTTTCAAATACAGTTTCACTTTCTTTTCTGTTTTGTGAGGAAATAGGTCTTTCTTCAATCTCCACACACACTTTACTCTGCTAATATTCAAACCTATTTTTCTTTATAAATAGACTACAATATTACTTAGAGCGATGATCTAACCTGCCATTAGGTAAACTTCAAGACAGCAATTACTCCAAAGTGAGTTAAGTATAATAACCCAAAGGTAACCAAAGGTTGATCTAGATGCAAACTTGGTAAAAGCTTGCTTTAAAAACACTATGAGGCCTTTTAGAGATACACCTGGAGATAATCACGGAAATGATGTAATATCTAGAATTTGTTTCCAAATGCCACAGGAGGAGGGCAGTGAGCACAGGAACAATGAAACAAGCCTTGGTTAGCTGATCACCGTTGAAGGTGGGTGATGAGTGTGGGGAAGTTCATGAGATTACTTTACTACTCTCTATTTGAAATATTCTATGTTGGGATTTTTTGTAACACTACAAGGAGATGGGGCGTTAGCTTTCCGTATGCTCACCTGCTTGAGTTGTAGTACTGTGCCCAGTGTTTCCACCATGGGATTCTTCTTGTAATGCTCCACAAGATCTGTCAAAGAATCAAACCGTTCTCCTCCACCAACATCATATTTCAGTTCCTTTCAAGACAAGAAAAAAATCCTGCTTATTACCTTTATGTTAAATTACTGCTTTTCCCAACTGAAGTACAGAGACTGACTCTCTCCCTCCAAGATCAAACAGCTGGAGGAGCACAAAGGAGAGGAAGCAAGGATAATGGAACTGGAGAGGCCGAGCCAGAGTGAGGTGTGAGCAGCTCTAAGTATCGCTCAGCAACAGCGATAGGTGTGAGCAGCTCTAAGTATCGCTCAGCAACTAGGGTACAAAAAATCGTCCCCTTCCTAAGTTAATTAAGTTAAAAGAAAGGAGAAACAGTATTCTTTACTATTTATTTACATATATAGGCTAAGAAACTATACAGTAGGCTGCTGAAGAAAAGGTAAATAACTACTTCTCTCTGAAACACAACAAACTCCAAGGCTTGGGTAGGCAGCACTAAAAGCCAACATACATGTCTCTACTTTCCTCTTCCAATGAAAATTTAAAAGGGAAACTATAAACAGAGGCCAGGAAATTTTTTCTGACAAAAGATCAAAATGGGCTATTTAAGGGAAACAACAAGAAAAGATGTTATTATTATTAATACGATACCCTAGAAATTATGTAAGAAGATATTTGGGTATGATCTTTTATTTAAAATTAAAATTGTGGGGGCGCCTGGGTGGCTCAGTGGGTTAAGCCACTGCCTTCGGCTCAGGTCATGATCTCAGGGTCCTGGGATCGAGCCCCACGTCGGCCTCTCTGCCCAGCGGGGAGTCTGCGTCCCCCTCTCTCTCTGCCTGCCTCTCTGCCTGCTTGTGATCTCTCTCTCTCTGTCAAATAAATAAATAAAATCTTAAAAAAAATAAAAATAAAACTGTGGGGGCGCCTGGGTGGCTCAATGGATTAAAGCCTCTGCCTTCAGCTCAGGTCATGATCTCAGGGTCTTGGGATGGAGTCCTGCATCAGGCTCTCTGGTGGGGAGCCTGCTTCCCCCTCTCTCTGCCTGCCTGTCTGCCTACTTGTGATCTCTCTCTCTCTCTGTCAAATAAATATATTTTTTAAAAATCTTTAAAAAATAAAAAAATAAATAAATAGAGTAGGGAAGAAGCACTTTCAGAATGACAAAGGAAAGACCTCTGAAAATCCTTTCTTCAATAAAAGCAACGAAAACACTAGTAAAGGGACACTTGGGTGGCTCAGTCGGTTAAGCATCACATCAGACTCTTGGGTGGCTCACATCAGACTCCCTGCTCAGCAGGGAGTCCGCTTCTCCCTCTCCCTCTGTCGCTCCCCTGCTTGTGTGCTCTTTCTCTCTGACAAATAAACATATAAAAATTCTTAAAAAAAAAAAAAAAACTAGTAAAAATTGTCATCAAATTTTCCAGAACTCTGGAAACTAACCAAGAACTTGCAACACTCCAAGGACCATTTATTCAAGAAAAATGATTGCATCTTGGTAAGGAGCAAACGATGACATTTTAACTTGCCCTATATTCCCATGTATCTCTCTCTAGCTCTTCTATAGCCTTGAAAACCAACAGCCTCATAATCATGGTAGCTGTGAAAGCCAGCAACCTCACACAGCTGGAGAGAATGAATTTGGAGCTCTCTCAAGAGACCGATCCCCAGAGAATAATCCCTACAGGCAAACACAGTTTTATTACACTTTACAAATAAATATTTTTTACAAATTAAAGGTTTGTGGCAACCCTGCATCAAGCAAGTCTATTGACAGCCATTTTCCTGACAGTATTTCCTCACTTTGTGTCTCTGTGTCGCATTTTGGTAATTCTTTCAGTATTTCAAACTTTTTCGTTATTATTATATTTGTTTGTTATGGTGATCTGTGATCAGTGATTATGACTTGCTGAAAGCTCAGATGATGGTTAGCACTTTTTAGCAATAAAGTATTTTTTTAAATTAAGGTATGTTGTCCAAAAGAAAAGTATACTGTCTATTGTTTTTCAGGCACAATGCTTCTGCACACTCAATAAACTAGAGTATAGTACAGCATAAACATAACTTCTATATGCACCAGGAAACCAAAAAATTAATTTGACTTGCTTTATTGCAACATTCATTTGACTGCAATGGTCTGGAATCGAATCCATAATACCTCTGAGATATACCTGTATTGGGCCTATTTAGCATCTCCCTGGAAAAATCCTGTTTTCAGAGCCTGTGTTTATTTGACCTGACTTAGAGCCCTGTCTTCAGGGGATCCGTCCAAAACAATCCGCAGCAACCGTTCATATCACAGCAGCCCGCACTGGCAATTCCAGTTAAGCCAAATAAAACACGGACCAAAATGAAAAAGGGAAAATCTAAGCAATGTCCACGGAGGGCGTGGAAAACCTCTGACATAGACAAACCAAGAAAAAGACTCTTAATTATAAAGAACAAACTGATGGTTACCAGAGAGGAGGCAGGTGGGAAGATGGGGGAAAAATAGGTGATGGGATTAAGGAGGGCACTTGTGATGGGCACTGGCTTTTGAAGGAACAAGCTGAATCAGTATTGTACACCTGAAACTAATATTACACCGTATGTTAACTAACTGGAATTTAAATTAACAGTTAAAAAAAAGACTCTGACATATTCTTAAGAAGCTAGGAGGCTATGTGCATGTGCAGGGCTGTGTGACGTTCAGGAAAGATCCAAGAACACCCTAATCTTCACCTCTAGCTGACCTTGAGGCTCCGTACAAACAGAAAGTGAAGGCTAAGGCAGAGCTGTAATCTGCCAGAACACTGAAACTGTACCCCAACACGCACACACACAGCCCCCGTGGCAAAGGCTGGGAGACTTAATGGTTCACGGCATTTAAGGAAATCTCTGTTCAATCATTAACTGACCACTATGTTAACAAAGCAAAGACTTCAGTGGCTACACAGAGCAAAGAATAAATGAAAATCAAGAAACACAGAAAGAGAAACAATAACTACAGAAACAATAAAAAGTAGCAACAACAAACCCTGGAAAAGATGGCATCTGATTTCCAGAATCACCACATTATGTTACTTAAAATGTCTAGTTTCCAACCAAAAAAATTAGGAAAAATGCAAAGAAACAGGGAAGTATGGACCAAACACGGGGGGGAAAGCACTCAGTAGAAACTGTCCTTGAGAAAGCCCAGATAAAAACTTGAAATCAGCTAGTATAAATATGTTCAAAGAACTAAAGGAAGGGGCACCTGGGTGGCTCAGTGGGTTAAGCCGCTGCCTTCGGCTCAGGTCATGATCTCAGGGTCCTGGGATCGAATCCCACATCAGGCTCTCTGCTCAGCAGGGAGCCTGCTTCCCTCTCTCTCTCTCTCTCTCTGCCTGCCTCTCTGTCTACTTGTGATCTCTCTCTGTCAAATCAATAAATTAAAAAAATCTTTAAAAAAAAAAAAAAGAACTAAAGGAAAATGTACTTTATAAATTAAAAGAAAATATGAGGATGTTGTCTCACCAAATAGACTATCACAAAAATCTGTACACAAATGTTCATAGCAGCATTCATAATAGCCAAACGCCCATAAATTTTTTAATGGATAAACAAAATGTACTCTAGCCATACAATGGAATATTTTGACAATAAAGAGTTGGTTGACACACACCACAACATGGATAAACCTTGAAGACGTTATGTGAAGTAAAAGAAACCAGAGGCAAAAACCACATATTACATGATTCCATCTATATAAAACATCCAGAAGTGGCAAATCCATAAAAATAGAAAGTAGATTAGTGGATGCTGAGAGCTGAAAGGAGGGGAAATAATGAGGAGTGACTGGTAATAGATACAGAGTTTCTTTTGGGGGTGCTGAAAATGTTCTGGGAATTAGTGTCAGTAGTTGGATAATATGTGCATATACCAAAAACCTGTCCACTCTAAAAGGGTGAATTGAATGGTCTGTGAATCATACCTCCATAAAGCTGGGGGTTTTTAATATATATTTAATTTAATTTAAAAACTGAAGCAATAAGTAAATAGTTTCTTTTTAGGAAAGTTTGACACAAGAATTAACCTCCTTAGTCCTTAGTCCTGTCACCACACTAAGAACAAGAAATAGTGAGGGATGCCTGGGTGGTTCAGTGAGTCAGGTGCCTGCGTTTGGCTTAGGTCATGATTTCAGGGTCCTGGGATCGAGTCTGGCATTGGGCTCCCTGCTCAGCAGGGAGCCTGCTTCTCCCTCTGCCTGCTGCTCCCCCTGCTTGTGTGCTTTTCTCTCGTGCTCTTTCTCTGACAAATAAATAAGTAAAATCTTAGGAAAAAAAAATTAAAAACAAGAAATAGAAAGTTCAGGGGCGCCTGGCTGGTTCAGTTGGTAGAGCCTCTGACTCTTCACCACGGGACTGAGCCCCACATTATGTGTAAAGATTACTCAAAAATAAAATCTAAGGAAGGAAAGGAAAGGAAGGAAGGTGGGAAGGAAGGAAGAAAGAGAGAGAGAGAGAAAGAGTTCAATTCTCCTAGCCTTGATGCACTAATTGCAAAAAGAAAGCAAATACAGTATCAGGCCAGACAGTGACAACCCTAAGGAGGAGCCAAGGCCATCACTTTAGAAACAGGGAGACTGAGGCTGACTCCAGCCAAAACAGATCAGATGGTACAGGGCAAAAGATGATGCTCTGAGGCATGACTTAATCTGCCAGCGATAGACTGGAAAGAGATAATTTAATAAAGTTCTGAAATGATGAAATAATTGTAATAAATAATGTTCTGAAAGCATATAAGCCTGTGCCTGAGCACAGAAAATCTGACTTCGGAAGTGACGTCTGTCTTCCTCCAGCAGAAGAATCACCCAAAGAGGACATTTTGCCAGAGCTGTGGTTCAAGCGGGACTTTACCTGACAGCGGATCATGACGTGGGTCACTTTCGACTTGCCATCATTGCTCTCCCCTTTGTCGTCACCAGTTCGGACAGAAAGAACAAAATCTCCGGGGTGACTCTGGCTCTCTCGTACCAGAAAGCTACCGTGTTTTCCTTTCTCCGTTAGTAATTTCTCTGCTTCTTTCCCAGAGAGGTGTCCATGAAACCACCTAAATTTTTTTAAATGAAAATCAATTGAGTTTTGCCACGGGTTCACAGTATTCTTTCACATATATAGCCAGCTTTCCTAAACACAATTAAAAAACAGATCCATTCCTCCAAGAGAGTGGCCAATCCCATGCGGGACAATTTGCATCCCAAGCAGGCAGGAAAAATGAGAAAGATGTTAAGAATAACCATTAAACTTCAAATGATCCCACAGTCATTTGTAAACAAATGCCCTCAAACTTTCCTATTTTCTCTTAAATCTCCCATTTCTTAAAAATGTACCTTGTGGGGTGCCTGGGTGGCTCAGAGGGTTGAACCTCTGCCTTAGGCTCGGGTCATGGTCTTAGTGTCCTGGGATCGAGCTCAGCGGGGAGCCTGCTTCCCCCCCCCACACACACACCTGCCTCTCTGCCTACTTCTGATCCTGATCTCTCTGTGTCAGATAAATAAAATCTTTTTTTTTTTAATGTACTTTGTGTTTTCTCCATGCCCTACTCCAAAAACACCGACTATTTAATCACAGCCATTTAAAGAACTTAAAATGGGGGTGCCTGGGTGGCTCAGTCAGTTAAGCATCTGCCCTCAGCTTGGGTCATGATCTGGGGAACCTGGGATTGGGCCCCACACTGCGCTCCCTGCTCAGTGGGGAGTCTGATTCTGCCCCTCCCCACTCCCCCAACCCCCCACCCTCACTCATGCTCTCTCTCAAGTAAATAAATAAAATCATTTAAAAAAATTAAAATAGAAAGTCATGATAGAGACAAAAAAATCATTTGAATGTTTGCCCTTGCTTTAGTATGTGAATACTACATAAAAAAGGATTTTCACTATAAATTAATTTAAGCATTCCAAATTTCTTAACATTTCCAACCAATACTTCAATAGCCTCAAAGGTTGCTGTCAGTATCTTTGGTCTATATACTGGGTTATCATTCCAAGCTCTAAAAGCATGTAACATCTAGAGAAAGGGCGAGGAAGTTTGCTAAAAATGTGAATTCCCATGCCTCCAGAGATAGCAATACATTCGTTTGACAGAAGCCCAGCAATAAGCATTTTTACCCAGTACTCCAGAGTCCTGATGTGGGCCATCAGAGGACAGGCTCTAAGACAATATTACTCTAAGATACTATAAAAAACATTTTGGGGTGCCTGGGTGGCTAAGCTTCTGCCTTAGGCTCAGGTCATGATCCCAGCGTCCTGGGGTGGAGCCCCACATCAGGCTCCCTGCTCAGTGGGAAGCACCCTCTCTCCCTCTCCCGCTTTCCCTGCTTGTATTCCCTCTCTCACTGTCTCTCTCTCTCTTTCCCTGTCAAATAAATAAATAAAATCTTAAAAAAAAAAAAAAGGTACTATAAAAAACATTTTAGAGGGGCACCTGGCTGGCTCAGTTGGAAGAGCCTGAGACTCTTGAACTCAGGGTCATGAGTTCAAGCCCCATGCTGGGGAGGGAGGGGGTAGAGATTAAATAAATAAACAAAAACCAACTTTTTAAAAAATTTTAACATAGTTATATGACTAATGTGTCTTTTCCCCCCAGGACCTTGGTGAGAGAGCAAGCACAATCGTGGCAGATAGCACTAATGGCTCATTGCTAGAGGAATAGACTTTGAGTTATTTTTCATCCACACTCAACCGAACAGAGTAAAATTTGGAAATAAACTGAGTTGGCCAACAGCCTTTTGCTTGAAGCTGCAGTAGTATCTGGGGAAACAAATCCGCCTAGAACAGCACTGACATAAAGGGGCAAGCTGAAGAAAGCTGCCTGCAGATATAAAATACACAAACCTAACAGAGACCCTGAATGTGTCCTGAGTCAGATAGGAGACTGGGAATGTCGAAAACCAATAAAATCAATAAAAATAAGTCAAGTCCTGGCTTTCATCAGCTTGGTTCCTATATAAGGGGAAGAGGCCCTATTGAAATCATTTAGCTCCCTCTAGGCAAGGTCATTCTCCCACATTTGTGGACACAACAGAACAGAACTGGTGAAAAACCCTCTGAGCTCCGCTTTTCAGCTGCTGAGCTTAAGCTGACATCTGTTGGTGGCACCGCTGCATAGCTGGTCGGGAGCGAGCACAGGCACTGCGGCTGTTTTGGTGCCTCCCTTAGCAGCTGTTTTGCTCTCGGAGCTCTCAGAGATGATCAACTCAAGTTCAGTCATCTTAAAATGACTGCACGCACCAAGTATATACAAGAATTGTCTGAGAGCACTGCGAAACTAAGTGTAAGGAACACTGATCGAAGCTTTTACAGAAAGGGGCGCTCAGAAAATAATCTGGTCCTGTGGTTCTTGCTTCAGGAAAACTGAACTTTAATTACAAAGATGACCTCTTGGGAAACAGATAAAGCCAAGGCCCCACGATGCATTCGTACAACACCTACAGCATCAAAGAGATGCACCACAGTCACTGACCTTTCAGAGGTAGGATCTGCACAGTTCAGAGGATATTTAAGCTCAATAACATCTCCATTCTTCTCTTTTAATTGCCCGTGATGTTCCATATAATACTGGACCAACTCAGCCAAAGTGGCAAACTTCTCTCCTCCGTACAGGTCATAGTAATCACCAGTGTTCTGAATCTTGATGTGGGTGACGGCGCCATTTCTTCTACAAGAGTCCATTAGGGGGAAAACAAAAACCAATAAAGTATAGTATAAATGGACGTCATATTCAATATCAGATTCCGCCTACACCTCGAAACACACCCAAGAAGCCAGTTTATACTTTTCCTGTAATAAATGTGGTGAGTGAAAACCACACGGTCAACCATTTCAACACCAAGGGGCTTTGTTTCTTGGCTCCTTTCCCTTCTACAACTTTTATTTTGGAAGTCTAACCTATCAAATTGCATATATTAAGTGATAATAATTTTTCTCATCAGTAATTAATAGAGACACATATATTAAACATCAATCTATCTTCTAATCCAATAAAAACACTGTAAGTATTTTGCCCCCCCCCCAATGAAACTGTATAGCTACCCAAGGACTGGTATGAGAATATTCATTGCAGCTTTATGTGGAATAGAAAAATCCTGGAAACTCAAACATTTATCGCCAAAATGGATAAATAGTTACATACTCACACCACAAAACATTACACAGCAATTAAAGAAAAAAAAAACACTAAAACATACAACTACAGGGATACATCTCAAAAAACATTACATTAAGAGAAAAAAGCCAAGGGTGACTGACTGGCACAGTCAGAGGAGCATGTGAGTTGGGGTTGTGAGTTCAAGGCCCACACTGGGTATAAGGATTACTTAAAAATAATATCTTTTAAAAAAAGAGAGAGAGAGAAAGAAGACAGGCACAAATGAATACGTACTGTATGACTTCATTTGTCAGTGAACTTGCGGAATAAGCAAAACTAGTCTATAGGGTTAAAGAATAGTGGTAGCTACTTAGAAGGAGGGAAATTAGAAAGGGGAACAAAGGAATCTTCTAGGGTGATGAAAATATTCTGACTACGGTGTTGGTTACATAAATAAATACATTTGTCAAAATTCATGTCACTGTACACTTAAGATACCGTATATGATCATACCTTAAATCATACCTTAAATAATCACAGACCTTAATCGTACCTTAAAAACACAGACAACTGACAGTTTCCAGCACAAGATAGCTAAAATGTTTTCCCATTGAGGTGACAAAACATTGATCAAAAGTTTCTAAAACTTGGTTTTTTAGGGGCACCTAGGTAGCTCAGTTGTTAAGTGTCTACCTTTAGGTCGGGTCATGGTCCCACGGTTCTGGGACTGAGCCCCGCATCGGGGTCTCTGCTCAGCGGGAAGCCTGCTTCTCCCTCTTCCACTCCCCTAGCTTGTGTTCCCTCTCTCGCTGTCTCTCCGCCAAATAAATAAATAAAATCTTAAAACAAACCTTAAATAAATAAAACTTGGTATTTTAGTTAGCCTAGGCAGCCTGTGATTTCCATTAAGTTTTCTGAACAAATGAATACATCACAAGGACACTCATTTTTACCAAGGGGCCAGGCACTTCCAAAATGATAACCATTGACCTATATGAGCTTTTAGTCTGATCCTGCAGATTATTGATGAAGCCTCTGGAAAATATAAACACATTTCTACCAAATAAAAAAGAACATGGGGACTAAAGAAAATAAGAAAAACCATCCCAAAATGTTCCTGACAATAACCTACTTCTAATTATTGGTGACAACCTTCTCCAGTGGGTAAAGAGGGTCCTTCCGGTCACCCTCACCTTCGGGTCAACTATATCCGACTCCACTTGAACATCTGAGCTTCCCATTTCTAGCCTTTACTTAACGCCATAACACAAAGAAAGATATTTCAGGTATGAACGACATTAATACACAGCCACACAGACGGAGCTCAAAAACATAATCGTGCATGAAAGAAGCACAGCATAGAATGATATGCTCAGGATGTACCATTTATGAAAATTTAAGCACACACACAGTAATACTATAGATTATTTAAGATACAGTGATACCCACACACATATATATGTGTTATATTTTATTATTGTGAAGATACTATTTCCAGGTAATGTTACTTATTATATTACAAACATACACACACACACATATATATATATATTTTTTTTTTTTTTTTAATGAAGTATAACAAACTCATGAGACTAGCTGCCAATGGGACAAAAGGAAGCACAGGATCAAGGATGGTGAGTAAAGGGAAATTCTGTTTTATTTTATATTCTATTTTGAAGGGAAAATGGCCATAAATACAACATGAGTGATTATACATAACTTTATGTATTTTTCTGTATTTTTTTTTCCTCAAGATTATAAAGGGAGAGTGGGAGGAGGAGGAAAAGAGGGAGCGGGAATCTTCCTTGATGAACTGAATATAAGGTAACATAATGATCAATTTTAAAGCATAGGCACATAACATAAAGGTTGGATTGCACAGAACCACAACAATAATCACATCATAGATGCACGCATACACACGTGCATACACGCACTCACAGAGGCACGCGGACATCTGTAACAGTGGCTACACACAGACAAAGAAACAGAAAAAGTGAAAGTCGGCCGCGTTGCACAACTGTCAAAAGCAGTGGTTCTAAGTTCACAAAAAAGATATACAAATGGTCTTTAAATGCATTAAAGGATGCTCACCTTCAATCCTGAGAGAAATAAAAATTAAAATTCGCAAAGACACCATTTCTCATCTATCAAGCTAATGAAAAGGAAAAACTTGACCACACTCAAATGGTGACGCTGTGGAGAAACGGGGCCCCCCACGCATGACTGGTGGTGCAAGACGGTGCAATCACTACGGAGAAGAATCTGAAAAAGCAATGCCACCTGTGCATTTACTGTCTCCCCCAATCACCTCCCTCCCAGGAATTCACTCCAAAGACAGCTTTTCCAAAGCACAGAACATATGCAAAATGTGATCCCATTCACTGCAGCCGTATCAGCCGCTGTTAAATATTAGAAAAAACTAAATTCCCATCTGTAGGGAAATTGTATACATTTATACACTATTCAGTTGACTATGAAGATGAGAAAGATTACTAAAAGATTTCTGTAAGTGAAAAAAGTAAACTATAGGGAAAGATAGTATTCTACTTCATGTGTACAAAGAAACAAAAGGATAAACTAGAAATTAAGGGAAATGATGACCTACAGGGATGGATGGAAATGGTGCAAGGGATAGATAAAAAAATGAGATTTCTCAGAAAATACCTTTTTATACAGTGTTATTTTTAAATCTTGTAAACGCTTCACATATTCAAAACATACAATTTAATCAACAAAGATCAGAAAAAAAATGAATACCTGAAAAACAATGAATACAAACAGAAATCTCTTTTCGTAATTAACTCACAACCACAAAGAAAATTAATTCCAGGGGCGCCTGGGTGGCTCAGTGGGTTAAGCCTCTGCCTTCAGCTCAGGTCATGATCTCAGGGTCCTGGGATCGAGCCCTGCAACGGGCTCTCCGCTCAGCAGGGGGCCTGCTTTCCGCTCCCCCCACCTCTGCCCACCTGCCTCTCTGCCTACTTGTGATCTCTGTCTGTGTGACTAATAAATAAATAAATTCTTTTTTTAAAAAATGACAGTGGTATAGTAATTCTGGAACTATTTTTGTATTATAGAATTGGCCAAGTGGTCATATATTGCTGCATCTGGAAGCAGGGTTCCCCACACAAGAGAAGGGAAACACAAATATGGAATGGGAAAAGGTGAGAAAGTTGCATTGAACTGGAACTATCAGTAAGAACACTTGGTCTAAAATATATAAATATTTATTTCCCAGCTCTGTCTACTGTGAGGGCTAAGAAGCAATAAACACACCCAGCTTCTAAATCTTGGTTCCTGAACACTATTTCCCATTGAAAGACTCAAGGCTCTTGAGAGAAACGAAATGATTCCAGGCTTGGGGGGGAGGGGGAACTACAAAAATAGCCTAAAACATCTCACAGAGCCAGAAGGCAAGGATGTACTCAAAGATCACTGAAGAAATGTCAAAAGGATAACAGGAACCACGCCAGCCAAATGTGGGGCAACTAGAACACAAATTAATAATGAGGGGCGCCTGGGTGTCTCAATCATTAAGCATCTGCCTTTGGCTCAGGTCATGATCTCGTGATCTCAGGGTCCTGGGGTCCAGTGCCCATTGGCTCCTTGCTCAGCAGGGAGTCTGCTTCTCCTTCTTTCTCTCCCCACCTGACCCCCTCTCCTGCTCGTGTTCTCTCTTTCAAATAAATAAATAAAATCTTTAAAAAAAAAAAAAAGAAAGAAAGAAAGAAAAAAAGAAAAAAAAAGAAATAACAGAATTAGAAAAATAATTTTTCAGGTGCCATAAAATGATTTATTCAGACAAACTTCATCAACGAATGCTAAAAACACGAAGTGAGAAAATGCTGGGGAAGAAGACACAAACTATCATCCATCAGACCACTTAATAATTACTAAAAGAAAAAGTGTCTTTGTAATGAAAAACTCTGGCAAGCACCTGAATCTAACAGTTAAACCAAATAACACCAAAGGATGGGCCAAACAGGCACTCTGTGCTTCCTCCTGTGAAATAACGGGGTGGTCCGGCATCACCTCTGGAGTGTGCTTGCCCAAAATGTTTCATGTGAATGTGAAAATGAGGAAACAATCAGCAAATTGAGATTGGAGGACGACCCAAGAAATGACTGGCCTGACTCCCCAAAAAGCTAAAAGATGGGGATAAAAAGAAAAGGTCAGGAGAGAGAAAGAGACTAGAAACATAAAAATTAAATGCAATGAATGATCTTTGACAAGATTCTCCTGAATCTAGTCTGGGGGCAGGGGAGGGGTGGAGGGTGGAGAGAGACTCAACTGCTTCTAAAGCCACTACTGAAATAATAAGGGAAGTCTGAATACAGACAGTATATTATATATTTGACAATATTATTAAAGCAAGGTTAAAATGTATTACTCTTAATGATTCTGTAGCTGTCCAGAAAGCCCTTGTTTCTCTGCCATACACACCGAAGTATTTAAAGGTGCAAATAAGGGCACCTGGCAGGCATAGTCAGTAGAGCATGCAGACTCTTGATCCCAGCGTTGTGAGTTCGAGCCCCACGCTGGGTGTGGAGAGTACTTAAAAATAAAATCTCTAAAAAAAAATTTTTTAATAAAATAAAATAAAATAAAGATAAAAATAAATATCCTGATTATCTGCAACTTATTTTCAAAAAGTTCAGGGGGGAAAAAAGTGTATACACAAACATACTCAGAAAGAGCAAACGTGACAAAACCCTGGCCGGTGAAGAGAATGTGCGTGTCCACTATATACACCTTTCACCTTCTCTGCAGGTCAGACATTTAAAAAACAAAAAAACGTTGAGGAAAAAGGGGGAAAAAAAATCACACCAATTCTCTAGCCCTGGTTCTGCCACTGACAAGCCGTGAGACCAGCTAACTAACTTAACCTCTGTGCCTCAGCTTACTCATCTGCAAAATGAAGGTAATTGTGGAACTTATTCCCAGGCCGTCGAGAAAATTAAATACAATGATATGTGCCGAGTGCGTGGTGCAATGGCCTGGTACATATGTCAAGTCCTCAGTCACGTCCGCTATCAGCAGCAGCAGCATTATCATATGCTCTCCAACCAAACTCTTACAGCCCAGATATCACACAGCTTTAAGTTAGAAGCCTGTGCGGAGGTAAATCCTTAGGACTGAAAGATCCATTCCTTGAACTGAAACACAAGGGCGCCTGGGTTGCTCAGTTGGTTAAGCGTCTACCTTCAGCTCAGGTCATGATCCCGGGGTCCTGGGATCCAGCCCCGCATCGGGCTCTCTGCTCAGCAAGAAGTCGGCTTCTCCCTCTCCCTCTCCCCCACCCCCCGGCTCGTGCTCTCACGTGCATGCACTCCCTCAAATAAATAAGTAAAATCTTAAAAAAGAAGAACACAAGTAAAAGCTAAGGACAGGGGCTCCTCAAAAAAACTAACCTAACCCAAAAAGATATTTCCCAAGTCCCAAAGGGGATCCTAAATAAACCGACCAGTTTATCCAACCCTCTATTGTGGGACACTGAGTTGTTTTTAGTTTAAAGTTTTTTGAACAGTATGACCAGCATCCTGTTACATGTCTCTGTGAGCAAGTGTGACAGAATTTTTCTAGAAACTTTCTCTTATGTACTTATTCCCTTTCCTCTAGATTATTCGAGGAGCTGTAACTCTACTGCTTTATGAATCTGCTTTTATTTTTTTTTTAATTAAGAAGTAAGTAAATTATGTTGGCCATTAAAAGGAAGAATTAGATCAGCAGAGAACTCAAAAACTTTAAAAAGGAAGTTGCAGAATAGCAGATATATTATAAGACCATGTATATGAATTCTAAAAACACACAAACCAACTTTATATTGTTCACAATAGCATCGAGACAGTACAAGTATAAAAACACATTCAGGAAGGATATATGCCAACCTCTCGATGGTGGTTTCCTCTGGGGAAAGAGGGAGGAGAACGGGACTGGGCAGGGGAACAAAAGGGACCACAACTTCCTCAGTGATGTTAATTACTTGAAAAAGAAAACTGATCTGAAGTAACTCTTAGAAAGCAATTTTCCCAAAAAGAAATCAACAGAAGGAAAAGGAAAAATGCAAGCCACCAGGTTCAGGATGACTAGAACCAGGATGGAGCACTGTGTGGCTTAAGGACTTGCAACACTCTGTCCACCTCACCCTCAGGGGTTTCCTCAAGGGAGAAGAAGTGCCCATGATGACACCCCTTTTGCCGCATTCCCACATGCCCACTCTCAGGAGGCCACGCCTGAGCCTTGCAAGCGGGCTTGAGTCGCATCTGACACGTAGACCAGGCCTCTCCATAGGCCCACAGGCAGGCCTTCAAACTCTCAATGAGGGTAGCAAGTTGTCCTGGAGGGGTTTCAACATTTCCCACCGGAAAAACCCTTGCAGCATTCTCTTTTTCTTCCAACTTACCTGACGGAAAGGGTGAAGTCTCCAGGGTTGCTTTTACTGGGCCTTGCTAAAAAACTGCCATCAACGCCTCTTGTCAAAAGCAGGTTTTCGGCCTCCACGCCAGTGATGTTTGGGTGAAACCATCTTGAGTGAGAGAAAAATAGAGCAATGAAAACCAAAATTCTCCAGAAATTCTCCAGAAAGCACTACTTTCCACACTATGACAGCTAAAATGCCCATGAGTAGAGTAGCTAATAAAAATATAAAATAGGACCTTCCCTTCCTCTTACCCCTCTTCTCTTTAATCACCGCCCCCCTCCTTGACTTCCTCTTGGAAGGATCCTGGGATCCGCTAGCTAGCGTAGTCAGTGGGGCCAGGGTCATGGTCAGTGAGACTGGGGATGGGGGTATGGGTACGAAGCCGAGGCCAACACCTTAAAAAATAGTCCATATGGTCAGGAGATTGAACACATGGAGTAGAATTAAACAAATAAAGAAAGAAACTAGTGAATAAATAAACATATTAAGGATAATGAGAGCCAGGTTTCTCACTATTAGAGAGGGGATACAAATATGGAAAGGGGAAAACCAGAATAAACCAGATTAGAATTGGAGGCAATATAAACTCTAGTTTTTTAATACACATATAGAGATGGCTACAGAAATACAGCTGTATGGTTCTGTGCAAGTCTATGTGCTTTTGTGCATGCAGATGCATATGTATCTTCCTAGTTCTCTCTTCCAAAAGGGCTTGGAAGCAATAATACCCCAGAAGCCATCAGCATAACCAGCCCCGTTATCATGATTTCTAAATACCATTCTCCAACAAAAGAAACTGGGTTCCTTGGAGAAAGAGCTGATTCCAGGTCTGGGGCACTAAAAAAGTAAGACGAGCTTGGAGTACCTTACCATGCCACAGTGCCCTGCTCAGCGGGGAGCCTGTTTCTCCCTCCCTGCCCCCCCCCGCCCCTCCCCCTCCTAGAGCTCTGGCTCTCTCTCTCAAATAAACAAATAAAATCTTAAACAAAAAAATACATGGGGACAAAGGGAAAGCTCTTTGCAATAGAATCACAAAGAATAATATATAAGCAGTATAGAATACACAATATTCTATATATATATGTAATATATAAGCAGTATAGAAGGTATAAGAGGATTAGAAAATCACCAGTTGGTAACCAGCACATGAATGATTCAGGCAAGAATCATCAGAGGACACTAAAATTGGTGGGTGAACATTTCAGGAAGGATGGTATTTATAACAACTCAAAGAACCTCCCTACAAAATGCTTATTAATTAACAAATAACAGATATTCATGAACCTCATAGTGGAGAACTTGACAGACTCTATCTTAACCAGTTGATGAAAGTTAACGTCACCGGTTATGGATTAAACTGGCATCATGTGCCTCCTGACAACACGCACTGAGAACACGTGCCATTTCTATGCTATTCCTGCCAAAAATGCATTACCTAATCGAATTCGGAGGAACATCGGACAAACCCCAAGTGCGTGACATTCTACAAACTCACTGGCACGTACTCCTCAAAAATGTCAAAACTGTGAAGGGGGAGGGGACAGCCAAGAAAGAACTTTCCAGATTACAGGCCAGAAATAGGACACAAGAATACACTGCATGGTTCTTTCTGGGCGTTATCACTGACCAGGGGGAGGAAGAAATTTGATAATAATACTATTATAATGTAAATTTCCTGATTTTGACAAGCATACTGTTAACTATGTCTGTGTCTCTGTTTTTAGGAAATACACACTGAAGTATTTTAGAGTAACAAGACATCATATCTGGTACTTATTCTCAAATGGTTCAGACTGAAGTTATACATACAGTGTGTATATATATATGGGGAGAGGCAAATGTGTACAACGTTAGCTGCTAAATCTTGGTTAAAAGTACACCAAAGTTATATTATTCTTACAACATTTGTATAAATTTGAAATTATTTCAGAATAAAAAGTTTTTAAAAACACACAAATAGGGACACCTGGGTGGCGTGGGTTAAAGCCTCTGCCTTCGGCTCAAGTCATGATCCCAGAACCACGGTTCTGGGTTGGAGCCCAGCATCGGGCTCTCTGCTCAGTAGGGAGCCTGCACCCCTCTCTCTCTCTCTCTGCTTCCCTCTCTGCCTGCTTGTGATCTCTGTCAAATAAATAAATAAAATCTTTAAAAACAAACAAACGGCGCCTGGGTGGCTGGGTCAGTTGAGCCGCTGCCTTCGGCTCGGGTCATGGTCCCTCGGTCCTGGGATCGAGTTCCGCATCGGGCTCTCTTCTCAGTGGGAAGCCTGCTTCTCCCCCTCTCTCTGTCTGCCTCCCTGCCTACTTGTGATCTCTGTCAAATAAATAAATAAATCTTTAAAAAACACACAGACACACATACAAAAATAATGAAGTCCACCATGAATGCCATCCACTTCAGAGAATTCCTCTCTAGTTCCCAGCAAAATTTCCTTCATGGATTCCAAAAGTCACCAAGATTTGTGGTAAAAAGAGTAATTTCTGAAGTCAAATTATCTGACCTTTATAGGCTAATTCAATACTCCAGGGAACGTACATCATTATTAAACGTAGAGTCCTGGCACTGATAATCAAATGAACTTTCAAGAGACTTCTCTACAAATATTGGCCCAATTACAGTGTGTTAGGACAGTGAAGGAGAGAGAAGGCAAGAGGGAAGAGCTGTCATAAATCATTCATTAAGGGCACGGAGAGCTCTGCAGCCTTGTGATTAGGGCTCCACTCACCCAGACCCAGGTGCACATCTGAGCTCTACCGCTTACTAGCTCATGACCCGGGCAAGTTCTTTCCTCCTCGGACTCAGTGTCCTCAAAAAGGCAAGGATCGATCATTTTTTTCTGCAATGATAATTCTTATGTTCCATTTAAGAATAAACTGAGAATCCATACAGTATGGTATCATTCAGCCATTATAAGTAACAAATTACTGGGAGCACCTGGATGGCTCAGTTGGTTGAGCAATAGACTCTTGGTTTTGGATCAGGTCAGGAGCTTGGGGTCATGGGATCGAACCCCACATTGGGCTCCATACTCAACACAGTGTCTGCTTGAGCAATTCTCTCTCTCCTTCTCCTTCTGCCCCTCCCCTTGTTTGTGTTTTTTCTCTCTCAAATAAATAAATAAAATCATAAAAAAAATTAATGAAATACTGATAAATGCTACAATTTAGATGAACCTCAGAAATATCAGGCTAAAGGAAAGAAACCAGACACAAGAGGCCACATGTTCTATGATTCCATTGATGTGAAGTGTCCAGAATAAGCAAATCCATTGACAGAAAATAGATTAGTGCTTGCTTTGAGAAGGTGGATAGCTAATAGGTACAGGGTTTCTTTTGGAGGTGATGGGAAAGTCCTAAGATTATAGTGCAGTATGTGAATATACTAAAAACCACTGAGCTGTGTCCTTTAAATATGCATGGTATGTGAGTGATATCTCATTAAAGCTATTCAAAAAAAAAAGAATAAGGAGTGCGCCTGGGTGGCTCAGTGGGTTAAAGCCTCTGCCTTCAGCTCAGGTCATGATCCCAGCGTCCTGGGATCAAGCCCCGCGTCGGGCTCTCTGCTCAGCAAGGAGCCTGCTTCTCCCCTCTCTCTCTCTGCCTGCCTCTCTGCCTACTTGTGATCTCTGTCTGTCAAATAAATAAATAAAATCTTAAAAAAAAAAAAAAAAGAATAGGGGCTGGGCAAAAAATAAAATAAATAAAAAATGAAAATAAAAAAGAAGAAACTGGGATAATAAAAAAGAGGGCTTACTAAATTCACTCATGCCACAAACAGTGGATACCCAACACAGGCTATGAGGACCACATGCCAGTTATCAGAATAACCCTGCCCTCAAGAGGGTTTCTTTGCAATGGAGAGATTTAAAAAAAAAAAAAAAAAAGGTAACTAAATAAAATGTCACGTGGTAATAACTGCTACAAGAGGAATAAAGTAACTGGGCACCTTGGTGTCTCAGTCAGTTGGGCATCTGCCTTCATCTTAGGTTGTGATCCCAGAGTCCTGGGATCAAGCCCCTATCAAGCTCCGTATTTGGCAAGGAATCTGCTTCTCCCTTTCTCTCTGCCCCTCTCCCCTGCTCATTCTCTCTCTCACACACACTCCCTCTGTCAAATAAAATAAATAAAATCTTTTTAAAAAATTTAGGGGTGCCTGGGTGCCTCAGTGGGTTAAAGCCTCTGCCTTCAGCTCGGGTCATGATCCCAGGGTCCTGGGATTGAGCCCCGCATCGAGCTCTCTGCTCGGCAGGGAGCCTGCTTCCTCCTCTCTCTCTGCCTGTCTCTCTGCCTACTTGTGATCTCTCTCTCTCTCTCTGTCAAATAAATAAATAAAATCTTTTTTTGAAAAAATTTTTTTTAAAAAGAGGAAGAAAGCAGCGAGAGGGGATGCTTATAAAGGGTACAGGGGAGGCAGGGTTCAGTGATAAGGTAACATCACGAGACCTCAAAGAAGCAAGGCAGCAACATGCCTGTTTACGGGAGAGGGACATACCAGGCAATGGGCGGACAGTATATGACACGTATGCAAGAGGCCAGTGTGGTTGGGGCAAAATGGGCAAGGGACAGACAGGCAGAGGAGGCCAGTGAGGTAATGAAAAGCCAGACGATGTAGGGTCTTGGAGACACTATAAAAACTTCAACCTTTATTTTTTGTGAAATGGTTAAGGACTGGAAGGTTTAGGCAGAGGAGCAACACGATCTGACTTACATTTTTAAATCACCTTTCAAACGACTGCACAGGGAAAACACACAAGTTAGTTAAGAAAGCCACTGTGATAAACAATCCAGACAAGAAATGATGGTAAAAGGACCAAGGTGGCAGCAGTGGAAGGAGTGATAAAAGTCCAACTAGGATTATCTTCAGGGTAGATAAGAGGATTTCCTAAAGGATTATACATTTAATAGGAAAGAAAAAAGTAAGAAGACTCCTAAGTTTGGAGTCTAGTCAACTAGAAGGTTGGAAACATGGAAAGGGGGGCACCTGAGTGGCTCAGCGGGTTAAGTCTCTGCCTTCAGTCCAGGTCATGATCTCAGGGTCCTGGGATCGAGCCCCCTATCGGGCTCTCTGCTCAGCGGGCAGCCTGCTTCTCCCTCTCTCTCTGCCTGCCTCTCTGCCTACTTGCCATCTCTGTCTGTCAGATAAATAAATAAAATCTTTAAAAAAAAAAAAAAGGCTCTAGAAGATTAAAAAAAAAAATGGAAAGGGTAGGGAGAGCAAAATCAAGGGTTAGATTTGGTATGTGTTAAGTTCAAGATGCTTAGTTGTCCAAGTGTTGGTGCACACTAAGCACTAAATGTTAGATATTATTATTGACAATCATAACAATAAATGTAAGGTTGTTCTGACAAGGAATAATCTATCAACATTCCTGCTGTTTACATTAACTGAAATTCATCTTATTTTTACTTTTTCCTATACCATCTCACTAGTGTTTTAGGGGGAATCTAAACATCATTCTGACTGGCCTTGAGAAAAATCCCATGGGCTACAGCTAGACAGCCCTCATTCACATTCCAGCTCTGTGAACATGGGCTAGTGATTTCACTTTCCTGTTAACTCATCCAGAAATGGACATAGTAACAAATACATGTGTGGAAACACACTACTGCCTCCACGAACACACACACGTGGAATCCTCCTGATCTACACCCCAATATTTTTCATTTACCACAGCTTGAAGATCCTTCTGTGGCAGTACATTCTTTTTAATGGCTACACAATATTCCATCGTGTGAATATACTCGCAAGAATTTAATCCCCATTACAGGACATTTATAGTTTGCCTAGGTTTTGTTATTGCAAATAATGCAGCAGAGGGGCACAGCAGAGGGGCTCAGTCGGTTAAGTGTCCGACTTAGTTTTGGCTCAGGTCATGATCTCAGGGTTATAAGACTGCGCTTCACACTGGGCTCTGAGATCAGTGGGGAGTGGGCTTGGATTCCTGCCCTCTGCCGCTCCCCCAGTGCACTCACTTTCTCTAAAATAAATAAATCTTTAAAAAAAAAAAAAAAAGACAAGGGGAGTAGGTGCTGGACCCGAGCAGAGCTGAAGCAGGAGGCACAGGCCGGCTTGGCAAGCAGAAACCATGTCACTGTTCGGGAAACTGTTTGGAGCAAGAGGGGGTAAGGCCAGCAAGGGCAGCCTGACCCCTCAGGATGCCATCCAGGGGCTGTGGGACATGTTGGAGATGCCAAGTAAGAGGAAGGAATTCCTGGAGATGAAGTTGGAGCAGGAGCTGACCGCCACCAAGAAGCCCGGCACAGAAAGAAGCCCATGGGGCCTCCAGGCACCGAAGCGCAGGAAGAGGTACAGAAAGCAGCTGGCACAGATCGATGGCACACTATCCACCATCGAGTTTCAGCAGAAGGCCCTGGAGAACACCAGGACCAACACAGAGGTGCTCAAGAACATGGGCTCTGCTGCTAAGACCATGAAGGCTGCCCATGACAACACGGCCATCGACAAAGTTGATGAGTTAAGGCAGGACATTGCTGACCAGCAAGAACTTGCAAAGGAGCTTTCAACAGCTATTTCAAAACCTGTAGGATATGGAGAAGGGTTTGATGAGGAGGAGCTCATGGCAGAATTAGAAGAATTAGAACAGGACGAACTAGACAAGAATTTGCTGGAAATCAGTGGACCCGCAACAGTCCCTCTACCAAATGTTCCCTCTATAACCTCACCATCAAAACCCAGCAAGAAGAAGGAAGAGAAAGAGGATGACATGAAGGAATTGGAGAATTGGGCTGGATCCATTTAACTGGTCCAGTGTAGTCCAGACAGACTCTGGTGGGCTGTGCAGTGGACAGGTGCGTGGGGGTGGGGAAGGGGGAGGACATGCGCAGGCAGGTTCCATCACTCCTGAAACTCCCTCCAAAGCAGTAGGGCTGCATCACTGCTCACTTGCTGCATAGAACGCTCTGCACCCAGCAGGACGGGGAGAGGGGCAAGGGCGGGGGTGGGGGGTGGGGTGGGAGATGCCTGCTGTTTATAATGTTGCATTTCTGCAAAATAAACTGTATTTGCAAATCCCCAAAAAAAAAAAATCAATACAGCAGAAGACATCCTTTACAATCATTATTATACACTTTTTCAAGTACATCCGTAAATTAGATTTTCAGAAAATTGCTTTGGCAAGAGTTTGCCTTTCACTTTGACAAATCTCCCCAGCGGCACTCAAAAGAAGGTGCCAGTTTCGACTCCCATAAATTGAGTGTGAAAGCCCCTGTTTTCTCTCACTTTTGCCAATACTGCATATATTACCAAATTTTTTCATCTTGGTCGATCTGATTCATGGAAAAAAGTACCATTCTAGTTTGCATTTCTGTGTGACACTAAGCACTTTTTTATGTTTTCAGAGCCCCTTTTTCTTCCTTTTCTGTGAGTTGTCAGTTTCTCACTGTTCGCTTTCTCATACATTTTTTTCCTTCTTACTGATTTACAGGAGCCCTTGAAATAACCAGAAAATGATTCTTTAGTATATGCGTGGCAAATATTCATCTTAGCTTTTTGCACTTTTCACTGTTTGTGGTATTCTTTTTCCACAGAAATTCACCTTGGCATGGTTAAATTTATCGTTTTTTTTCCTTTATGATTTTGGGGTTTCTCACTATGCTTAGAAAAACTTAATTCATAGCACTGTTGTGAGACACAAATAAGTTAATACACATAAAATGCTTAGCACAGAACCAGCCCTTAAGAGTTTCACCTTTGGAACTAGGAATTTAGTTTTTAGGCAGAATAAGATACTTACAATAAAGGAACAGATTTTCACAGGACCCTGCAAGGTGTGGCCCCAACCTAATTCTCTCTCTTTCTCTCTCTTTTTTGTTTAAGATTTATTTATTTATGAGAGAGAGAGAGAGAGAGAAAGAAAGAGAAAGAGATTGAGCATGAGAGGATAGGGGGAGAGGGAGAAGGAGAGAGAATCTTAAGCAGACTCCCTACTGACCACATAGCCACAACCCCGAGATCATGATCTCAACCAAAATCGAGAGTCAGATGCTTAATGGATTGAGCCACCCAACTGCCCTCCAACCTGACTCTCTTATTCTGGTGACTTCTCTGTTTTCTTCAAGTATGCCCCATGTGGCCTTTGCACGTGCTTTTCTTCAGACGCTCCCATCTCACCTTTTCACAGCACCCTGAGCATGATACCACCCTGGGTGATATCAACATGAAATCTAATCACACATTCATCCAAATACCAGGTTAAAGACTTGACTGGCAGCTCCCAAGAGAGAGAACCTGCCTGCTACCATACCAATGTGTACCTCCAGCTCCACACAAAGGGGCTAACACATGATTTTTTAAATATTTGTGATTAGAAAGGAAGGACAAAAGCAGCCGTTGTGGGAGATGGGAACGCCTGTCAGGGCTCTTCCACATCCATAGTTCCCCATTGATATAGGTCATAGGTCGTGTCACAAGAGGCTGTCAAAAGAGAAGTGTCAGCTGGCAAAGGCTCTCTTCAGACCTACCCCACTAGCTCTTCAAAAAAAAAAAAAATTATTTCTAGTACACAATTTTTATCCGATTTGTAGTGCTAAGGTGGTTATCTTCCCTTATCTGTATGGTTACAATTTTAATATTTTTTCCAAAGCAGAGGCACTTGGGTAGCTCAGTCGGTTGAGTGTCTGCCTTCAGCTCAGGTCATGATCTCAGGGTCCTGGGATCTGAGCCCTTGGGTCGGGGTCTCTGCTCAGCAAAGAGTCTGCTCCTCCCTCTCCCTCTGGCCCTGCCCTCTCTCCTGTGTGTGTATGTGCACACATGCTCTCTAAAATAAATAAATAACATCTTAAAAAAAAAAAAAGAATTTCCTTATACACAGGTCCAGGACACCTTGTGCATAAGGCAAAAATGTGTCCCAAAGCCTCCCAAAGCATTTGAAAACCCCTAAATTTGATATCTTAACTATACCAGGAGGGAAAGAACTCTTGGTTTGCTTCTCTGTCTCTGTTACCACTCTTGCACCTTTACAGTACTTCACCCAGCTTTGTTGTGTGCCCCTCATCTGTAAATGTGCAGGTGTTCATAACCATGGTAACAAATACATATTAAAAAACAAATGAGATGCTTGGGTGGCTCAGTCGGTTAAGCACTTGACTCCTGATTGCATCTCAGGTCATGATCTCGGGGTCATGAGATCCAGCCCCATAATGGGCTCTGCACTGAGCGTGGAACCTGCTTAAGATTCTTTCTCCCTTAGGGTGCCTGGGTGGCTCAGTTGTTAAGCATCTGTCTGCAGCTCAGGTCATAATCCCAAAATCCTGGGATTGAGCCCCACACCAGGCTCCCTGCTCCATGAGAAGCCTGCTTCTCCCTCTCCCACTTCCCCTGTTTGTGTTTCCTCTCTTGCTGTGTCTCTCTCTGTCAAATAAATAAATAAAATCTTAAAAAAAAAAAAAAGAAAAAGATTCTCTCTCCCTCTCTCTCTGCCCCTCCCCCACCCTTCACTATCTCTAAAACAAAACAGGGGCTCAGGGTTCTTTCTATAGGACAAGCTAAATAAAGTAGACCACATTGTGCACCCCCATAAACAAACCCCATTTAAAGCAATGAAATTTTATATTTAATCGGGACATTGGAAGAAAAGAACCAAAGTCATAAACATCGCTACAAAGTTTGGCAACCATTCTACCAGGGTTCTGGTAGATAGAATATAAACTGTTTAGTTTTCGGCTTTAATTTATGAGTCAGAAGAAAATATAATTTTCTTTCTATTAAGTGCATTTTTTAAAAATCACACCTATATTCTGGATTTGTTTTTCCCTTCAACAAAGCCAGTAAGCAAACATATTTGAAAGAAGTATATGTATTTTCATTTACTAATATGAGTTGCATTTTTCTAAACATATTAAATTTTTTTCCCCTTCCTAATTATTTGGATTGGAGAAGGTCAGGATAAGGCACAGGTTTATGTTTTTTGCATCTTGCAATTTAATTCGGAAAGAAATATTTCAAAATACGTAAAAAATATATATATATTTCTGTATCTGTTTTTAAAAAGCTACGGCTGTATAAAACTGAGGTATAACTTTATTTTTTTTAAAGATTTTATTTATTTTATTTATTTAACAGAGAAAGACACAGCAAGAGCAGGAACCCAAGCACGATCAAGAGAAGTGGAAGAGGGAAAAATGGGCTCTGCACTGAGCAGGGAGCCCGACGCAGGACGTGATCCCAGGACCCAGGGATCCTGACCTGAGCCAAAGGCAGATGCTTAAGCATCTTAAGCCACCTGGGTGCCCCTGAAGTATAACTTTAAATGTCCCTGTTATGCAATTAGCAAGCATCTTACTACAGTAAAGACTGGATATGCCAAGAACCATCAATGGGTGCTAAGTCTAGGGAGAAACTGGGGGTGGGGTGGAGCAGGATACCTGCATGGTCTTACACTGTGTCTTCATCAACCACTGATTAGTTACAAGGGAAAAAATATGGGGCGCCTGGGTGTCTCAGTTGGTTAAGCATCTGCCTTTGGCTTAGGTCATGATCCCAGAGTCCTGGGATCGAGTTCCACATCCATTTCCTAGCTCAGTGGGGAGCCTGTTTCTCCCTCTGCCAGCTGCTCCCCCTGCTTATGCTCGCTCTCTCTCTCTCTCTCCCTCTGACAAATAAATAAATAAAATCTTTACCAAGAAAGAAAAAAGAGAGAAAATATTATACAAAGGAGAAAATGGACAAACCCTTAACCAGGTAGTCACTGATAATTAACATCACCAGCAGACATCATGCATCTCGAGATACGATACTCCAGAAGAATACAATATCGCCTACATAGTACTCTGGCTGAAATCTAGTAATGATGAAACAAATTCAAAATGAGAAATATTTTATTTTAAGAGGGGAAGGGGGAGAGATCACTAGCATGAAAGACAAAAGGTTGTAGAGTATTCTGGATTAAAGAGATCTAACAACTAAATACAACTGAATCCCGTACTAGAAGAGGAAAAAAAAAAAATGCTATGAAGGACATGATTGGGTCAACTGGCACAGCTGGAATACAACAGGTTAGATCAAAGGATTATTACCGGGGCGCCTGGGTGGCTCAGTGGGTTAAAACCTCTGCCTTCGGCTCGGGTCATGATCCCAGGATCCTGGGATCAAGCCCCGCGCTGAGCAGAGAGCCTGCTTCCTCCTCTCTCTCTGCCTGCCTCTCTGCCTACTTGTGATATCTGTCAAATAAATAAATAAAATCTTAAAAAAAAAAAAAAAGGATTATTACCAATGGTAAAATTACTAGTTAAAAATTTTAAAAGATGGGGTGCCTGAGTGGCTCAGGCAGGTAAGTGTCTGCCGTCAGCTCAGGTCATGATCCCAGGGTCCTGGGATCGAGCCCCATGTCAGGCTCCCTGCTCAGTGGGGAGCCTGTTTCTCCCTCTCCCTCTGCCTACTTGTTCTCTCTCCCCTCTGTTAAATAAATAAATAAAAATCTTTTTTTAAAAAGATAACTTTATTCTTAGAAAATCAACACAAGTATTTAGGAGCAAAGGGCTATGATCTATGTAATTTATCTTCAAATTTTGAAGAAAAAATTATACAATATTATATATGTGTATTTACACACACACACAACGTGAAGCAAATGGGATGGGAAGTTAACAGTTGTAAATCTGGGTAAATGGTATTCCAACCGTATGCATGTTCTTTGCATTATTCTTATTCTTATAATTTTTCTCAAAGTTTGAAACAAATTCCAAGTAAAGTTAAAAATTATTTTAAAATTTTCTGAAAAATCCATTTGCTCAAGACACCAGCATGATTCCCATCATCAGTGAGTTATCC